GTAATCACAAATGACACATTTCAACCATTTCCAAACTGTCCATTTTAGAAAGTGTCATTTTTTTATTAAAAAACGAGCATACACTGGTAGACAACGAAATTTGTAAAGTTTAAAAATGCCATCATAGCAGCAAATTATTCAATTAATTTAATATTTGAAGCTATATTTAGAGAATAATCAAGAATTCATGGACTGTAAGTCAATCATCATGTATTTTCAACAAAATACCGAACATTATTTTCCCAAATAAGTTTTTCCCATAACATTTACCGAATGATTTAAAAATCTCAAATAGTAACTGAGCACAATTCAAAATCACACCAACTTACTACAACTTTTTCTATATATGTATATTTTTACCAAAAAAAAATGGTCTAGTCCACATATTTGAGAAGCTTTGTATACCAGCTCTGTATAACGAACTAAAGTACAATAATAATTAAAATATAACTTTAATTTTTCAGTCACCCAACGTCATGCTCTTCCATAGCAGAAATCCTTTCTGTTCTTTTCTTCAACACGATGCGCTACAAAGTTCACGCTCCAAAGGACCCGTCAAGTGACAGATTCGTTCTGTCGAAAGGACATGCTGCTCCTGCTCTTTACGCTGCCTGGGCAGAAGCTGGTCTGTTCCCCATTTCAGACTTGCAAAACTTGAGAAAACTCGACTCCGATCTTGAAGGCCACCCAACTCCTAGGCTCAACTTTATCGATGTCGGCACTGGTTCTCTTGGACAAGGTCTTGCCATCGCAGGAGGAATGGCATATGTGGGCAAAAATTATGACAAAGCTAACTACAGGTGAAACTATTTGATCAACCGCGTTTCAAAAATTATTGTTATTATTTTTAGAGTTTTCTGCCTTGTCGGAGATGGTGAGAGTGCAGAGGGATCTATCTGGGAATCGATTCACTTTGCCAGCTACTACAAATTGGATAATTTAGTAGTAATTTTTGATGTAAACCGTCTAGGACAAAGTCAGGAAACATCTTTGGGACACGATGTTGAATCCTACCGGAGACGCTTGGAGGCTTTTGGAATGCACGCTATCGTCGTAGATGGACACGACGTCGAAGAACTAGTAAAAGCTTTCCACACCGCAGCTAACACCAAGGGTAAACCAACAGCTATAGTTGCAAAAACTTTCAAGGGGAAAAATTTCCCTAAAATCGAAAACTTGGACAACTGGCACGGAAAACCTTTGGGAGACAATTCCGATAGAGTGGTTCAGTATCTGAAAACGCTCATCAAAAACAACGGACCTCTGCAAGTTCATCCACAAAAACCGCTTAAAGATGATGCTCCAATTGTTGATATCACGAATATCAAGTTATCTTCACCTCCAAAGTATAAGCTGGGTGAATCTCTTGCAACCAGGGTAGCATACGGAAATGCCCTCGTGAAAATCGCCGAAAACAATCCCAGAGTTATCGCATTAGACGGAGATATGAAGAACTCCACATTCTCTGAAAACCTGAAGAAATATGATGCTTCCAGGTATATCGAGTGCTTCATAGCTGAACAAAGTCTTGTTGGTACGGCAATCGGAGCAGCATGCAGAGATCGTACTGTTCCATTTGTATCAACCTTTGCAACATTCTTCACAAGAGCATTTGACCAGGTTTGTCAACTTGTACCAATAATTTTTTTAAATCTCCAACTTTTGGTAATATCATTCATGCAGGCTTAAAATTAAAAAGAGTGTTTCAAGTAATACTGGAAGCCACAATTTGTTAAAAAATACTTTTCTCCATTTTGGATTATTCTGATTAGATAAAATTATTTATATCCTTTTCAGATTCGTATGGGTGCTATTTCTCAAACAAATGTTAACTTTGTTGGATCACATTGTGGGGCTAGCATAGGCGAAGATGGACCAAGTCAGATGGGTCTTGAAGATTTGGCAATGTTCAGATCCATTCCTGGAAGCACAATATTCTATCCAAGCGAAGCAGTTTCAGCAGAGCGAGCCGTAGAACTGGCAGCGAACACCAAAGGCATCACATTCATTAGAATTAACAGGCCCAATACTCCTGTTATCTATGCAAATGATCATGTATTTGCTGTAAGTAGTGTATCACATGTTTTTTGTTGATTAGAAAAATGCATGAATCAGTACCTATACAAAATTGCTACTACTGAAAATGGTTTAGGAAATTGTAATATATTTACAAATATAGATTTTTTGTCAAATGAAATGAGAAATTTAACTTTCTACTTAGTAAGGAGTAGTAATGAAATTAAGAACTAGTTAAAATTATATTTAAACCACTCTCTATGAGCCTATATAGTAAGAGAGAATGAAAACAAATTAGGGAAGAATACCATTATACTGATAGAGAACAGCAGTCAAAACTTTTTTGAAAGAATACTTCAATGCATCTCAAGTGATGCACTTTGAAGCTATTTATTTTTTTTAAATAGAAGATATTATGAATGACATTTTGTTCTGATAGTCTTCCAAAGCATTTTCTAACCATTTCTTAGCAAACTTTCAAAAATCATTGATTTGCACAAATTGTAAGTGATTAAACATTAGTTTTGTAAAAATGTAGACCATAAGGAGATGAACAATTAGATAAAAATTCCAGTACTTAATGATGAAAATTTTCAATATGGATCTCACATTATCCATCAGAAAAGTAGCAGCTAGGACCATATGTATCAATCGTAATCACAAATATAGTAATTATTACTATATAGTACAACTGATAGTCATATCTTTTTTTTCATTACATTGTTGCTTATTTCTATATTATTTTTTATAAACTTTCCAAACCAACCTTCCTCCCTTTGAAAGAACATTGGTTTGAGGCAGAGTTTGAACCTTCAACCAGGCTAAGCTCTAATCAAGTAGGAAAGTTATTTGCGTTGCATTGAAACAGAAGCCAAAAGGGGAGAGCAGGTTGAAGCTAAAGCACCCACCCTATAAAAAGTCTCAAATGACAAGAATAATCCATTTGGTACATACTTCAGGGTCCAATCGACCACGGCCTACTAGCAGGAATTTTGTTCTCACTAATCATTAAATTTGAGAGGTACCTACTGTAGATCCTGTCTTTTCTGAAAATGTTATTGAACCATTAACTGTTGACAAAAGTGAAAACTGGTTGAACCTGGAAATATACTAATATACAATTTTGTCTTTGAAAAATTGGTGGTTAACCTTCTCAAAGGAAGAAAACACAGAATAAATGAACTTTGTAGTGGAAAGGCCAAAATGAAACAAATGTAGATGGACAACATTCGAATATTCAATTGTACCTAGCCTATGATAGACTACATACAGTTCAATTCCGACATAATGTACAAAAAACACTAGTTAGGTACTCCTAAGAAAAGCTTTACTCACCAAAATATTTTTCTGAACTCCTCGCACTGTCTGACGTTACTATCTACAATTTCTTTCAGAAAAAACTAATTTGCACACTTTCACAAAAACGACAGTACATTTTCAGAATCATTAAACTTCCTTAAGAAAAATCAGGACTTACCGGCTTTTTGACTTTCAAACAATATCCACCTGACATGACGACACATTGACGCAATGTCATGGCCACTGGTACTTTTGCACTCTATATATGCAACAAGCATTACTTTAGCTAATGGGACGTAGGACCAAGAAAGTCATGACCAAGGCGTATATTTTTTTCTGCTGAATTATTTGTATTCAGGAATGAAATGAATTATAGTACAATTCCATAATAATAATACAGGTCCGTATCTAAAAATTCAAAGTTGACATTGCCACTGGTCTGACGACATCCTGTATAAAAATTCTATGACCATTTTCATACAGAATGAAGAAATAGATTGATAAAAAGTTTTATTATAGCTGGCTAACAGAAATGCATGTTTTAAACAGATTTTTTATTACAGGTAAAAACTCAAAATAATCATATTAGGTTAACATTGGTAATGAATCAGTCCTTCTGCTGAAATTTACATGAAAAACTGAAATATGAAGTCATAATAAAACTTTCAGGTTTGGTTACAGTAATTTTATTTGCATTTAAGTATCTTGTATGAGGAAAAAACGACGGAATTATATATATTTGATTCAAAGGTCAGTGGCATATATCAAATTAGAACCACAGTACGCGGAATAATATAGCTGCCATCGCTTCGAAATTCAACTTAATACATACACTTTCAACTGAATTCTTCAACTGGAAAAAATGAGTTCTTCAACTTTTTCAAAAGCAAATCGATTCTTTCGCAGATGCACTGCTTCTAAGCGTTTTAAGAATTTTTTTTTCAGTTGTTGTTTATCTTCATTAAAAGTTGTTTTTGGATACTAATATCAAAAGCAAATTTCTTTAAAATTTCTCAACTACGATTAAGTTTTATACTCAGAAAAATTTTAGTGCTACGAGACATTAATATAATATACAAAACTATCAACGATGAAAGGTATTAAAAAAGACAACTGTGTAGATAAATATATTGTTCACTTGTTTGTTTGAACACGTCATGTTTTGATCAAATAAATAAACATTACAAGTGGAATCGACTAAAATGCAACGAATAATAAATGAAGTTGAATATAACTGCTTATATCAACTTTGAACAAAGTATAACTATAGGCACTTGTTTTAAATAGAATTATGGACTTTCCGGAAACTCGTTCAATTTCTTTTGGATTTCTTCAATAATACCATGTCATATCTTCATATATAAAAGGCACACCTCTGAGGCTTAGTGACCATTAAGAGCTAAAATATATCATAATCTTGCAGATCTTGTTTAAAAATTTTACCCACAGTTCATTGCACAAGCATCCAACAAAAAGTCAAGTCACATTTGGAACATGAATTAGATTTTCTACTACAGATAATTACCTACTCTACTTGCTATGTGCCCCATAGTGATCACAAAAATTCCAATAGAAGGCACATTATTCTAAAGACACTTACAAGAAAAAATTTGTTTGTAGTGTTCAAAGATAAGGCAAATTTTTACTACAATGTATATTAGAAAAGCTATACTTTAGTGAACATTTGGTGTTTTTAGAAACTGGTAACTTTGTCTGAGTGTTTCTGAAAGTTTTGCCAACGCGAGAAGTTAGAAACTTCATGAGATTTATCATTTATCAACATGTGGAGATGAAAAATTTTGTTGTTGTTTTGTGACTTAGTTGTGTTGAAAATTCCTCAAATTCACCGCGGACTTGTCAACAATTCCAAAGTTAATTTATCAAACTAGACTCGAAGTACTATATTGNTTCAGGGATTTCAAATCATTTTATACCATATTAGTTATCTGTATCATTGGTACAGTCAAAATAAAATAAATAAGTGATACTAAAAAAACACTGGTGAAAATGATGATTTTGCACAACAGAAAAAAGGTAAAATGAAACAGTGTGATACCATTTATTGGAAGATATCAGTCAGTTGTACACAGTTAATAAAACAGTGTAGCTTACCAGGGAAACATTCAACAAACGTAATAGTTTCCAAACTATTGTGGAATGAAACCAAATAGATTTGGCAGCAATGTATTTTACGTAACGCTTTGAAACGGGGTATTTCACAAAACGCCTGTGCAACAGACAAAAATCGATAAATATATTCCCTTATTCGTGTGGTACAGCAGAACAACTCACTCATTAAATAAAATCATATAAATGATGTCAGTAACGCCTTCAATCAGTAACTGTAATGATTATAATAATTCTACACAAAATGAGTGGACACACTTGAGACAGTGTGCAAATCAAATTATCTAAAATAACAATTCCTTCAGGCCAGTCTCAACTCCCTATACTGTAAGTTAATGGACTGACACTTATCAGAAAACAACTACTTCCCTGGCGAATACCACGAAGGGCGTTGGATTATATCCGACAGGTCTCAGTGCAGGATTCTTCACAGAAGAAATTCCTGGATATGCTGTTGGTGATACAACTGACGCAATAGATTTTCAATTATTGGAACACACTTGCAGACCGGTTTCAGGCTGTTTGCCACTCGTCAGTATCTATCATCAACATAAAGTCAATGAATTCCTATAATTGAAAATTGAATTCCTTTCAAAGTGTTATTTCTCGAACAAGGCTGAAGCGAACAACAAATAACATATTTCCATTTCCACCCCGTGTTTCCAACGGCATATGCAGGAATAACTTCAGTGAAGAATCCTGCACTGATACCTGTCGGATATAATCCAACGCCCTTCGTGGTATTAGCCAGGGGAGAAGTTGCTTTCTGATAGGTGTCAGTCCATGAACCTACTGTGTAGGTAAGTTGAGACTGACCGGAAGAAATTGTTTTTTTTAGATGATTTGATTATAATAATATCGCTCGACAAATACTAGGGCAGTTCGTCAAAATATTGCTTCTTCATATGTGAAAGCTGCAAGCCTTGTCAAAGAAGAGCCATCAAAAATTTAGCTTTTTTTTAATCAAATGTAGAAATAAAAACCACTATAACTGACTGCCTCAATTTATATCATTATATTACGCTCTCCCTATGTCGCAATCTAAGAAACTCAGAAGTTAAATGAAATACTGATTTTTTGTTATGTACAAAAGACTCGTTCAAGGAAAACTCGAAAATGCATATTGGGACATGTTTCTGTTTCATTTTCAACTAAAGATTAATTCAAGATGGCGACGCTTACAGAAATCTACATAAGTGTTTGTTTGGAAAAATTGTTGATAAAACAGTTTTTGACTAAATGGTTTTAGTAGGAGCTTGAGGCATAACATAACCTCTACCAGACAGAGGTTATGTTATGTGGAATATGTCCACAAAAAAATAGAAATAGAACTCTTGAAAATCGTTCTAGAGAAAAATTTTTATTCAGTAAGATGACATTCGAAACGCTCATGGCTAAGAATCAGAGTTCAAAACTCGGTTTCAACGTACCTCTTCCATGGTGCAATTTTTTTCTAAATATATCAAGTCCCTTGTCTCACGAACTATTTTTAGTAAACGCATTCCGACTCGTACCTCCCCAGCTAACATATATTAAACAAAACAGGTCTGAATTTTTCAAAACCATAATCCTCCACTTTTTACCTTGTTAATACATAAAAATGTACATTAGCAAAAAGTACATTTCGTCTACCGCAGTATTACACAAAAATTCAGGCATAAAAATCTGCTGACCACGGCCAACAA